TTCAAAGAATCTAACTTTCATCATTTCTAAATACAACTTTCTAAAAAAACAATCTTTATTTAACATGAAAGCCCAAATTTTATCAAAAACACCAATCTAGATCCAAAGTACATTGTTAAAACCGTTAAAAGAAAAAAAGAAGTCTCCAAGCGACTTCTAATACCCCCCATTTCCAATAATCCGCTAAATTACAATAGAAATAGAAAAGTAAAATTTTAAAACTGTATAAAGCCAAAAATAAGAAAACCCAATTTCCAACTTAAAAAAAAAATCCAAAAAACTGGAACCGGAAAACTCATTTTTTTAAATAGCATAAATTTGAATCTTAGTCTTATTTGAATCTTAATCTTCTGTTTGGGTTGTTTGGGTCCTTACAGTTGGATAGGTGAGAATAAGTTTGACAATTGTCATTATAAAGTTTTCATTTCAAATGTGCCATGTTTAGGTTTGTTATAAAACAAACAATTATATTATAATCAACCAGTTCTAATAAATAAGGGAATCAAAAGAAGTTACATCAATTCCTAAAACAAATAATTATATTACAGCAACTGTTTTATAAAAATCTCTTATATCATACATTTGTAGATTAATTGTTCAAACTAAAATGGAACTTGTAGAAAAAAACATACCAAGTAACTTACTTGAGTTTCTTTGCACCTGCACATTTAAAAGAGACACACCATCAATCAAAGAAATTAAGTTTGATAAAACAAAACAAAATTATCAAATATTCAATATTGGTTCTAAATGAGATGAAGTTAAGTCTTGTTTGTTTCTCTAATGTTATTATCTTATTACATGTTGATCTCACCAAAACAAAGTAGAAAAAAAAACCCACTGAGGTTTTAGTTCCCAATCCTGCTATTCCACATTTCTTCAAACTAAACAAAAGCTGATTACCAAAAAAATCTAAAATTCTTCGCAACATCATATAAAAGCGGGCTAATCAATGACCAAAAAACTGTAATTTTGCACACTTACTAAAACAATATGCAGTTAAACAAAAGCCTCATGTTAATTATTTCAAAATACATTATACAACATAAAAACAATTTGCAGGCTAACTAATGAATGTGGTTGAAAAAAAATCTAAAAAATAAAGACATCAGTAATCTCGAAATCATAAGTGTATATGTGGAAATCAAATTTCTGCCTATCTTTCAAGAAAATACAAATGCGAAATAGCAATATACTTTCATTAACTTGCTAACTTCAACATCCTATTTTCATGTTTTGTCATAAAACCATTGTAATAAACTTTAATAACGCATGAAAAATAAATAATTGCATGACTACTTTCATTTGTTTGTCTTTTAAAGCATGATAATGTAACTTGCATTTTATTGTCTCTTGGGCATAAAATACACTTAAAAGTAAAATCCCTAAAATGAACCCTTAGCCACAGTAGATTGCATTATTATTGGGAGAAAGTTAAATTAAAATTTATGCAAAAAAATATATATTTTGCATTAAAATAAAACTATTGACTATAAAGTATTATAGTTAAATTTCCATGCTCTGATCCCCCAAAAAGGTAAATGCCTAAATTAGCAAGATAATAGTTGCAACTTGAACTACGAATGCAAAAGAAAAAATGATTTCTTTTAATTTGGACGCCCTGACTTGCCACACAATTATGCAATTTTTTCAATCCTTGTTATTCCTTGAAATGATCCCAAAAAAAAGTTATGTAAAATGTTGATATTTTCTTAAAAAAATAAACATAAAACTATAATTTTTTCAAAATAATAATGAATGCTAATAAGATCTTACCTCTCTATAGAATCAACAATGTACTCCAAAGAGAGTAAGGGACACCAACATTATGAGCTCTTGTTAAAAATCAAATAAGCATGTAAAAAGTGATTAAAGTTAGATGTTTACCATCAACTGTGAAATTGGAATAGTTAAGAATCCCCAAAAAAAACAATATCCTCTAATAATAAATTTTGAAAAAATAAAACTAATATGAATGATCTTCACCTCCAACTATAAAAATATATATAATAGACCAATAATTGAAAAGAACCATATCCATTTATAACTGTGGTGATTTGAGAAACTAATATGATCAAGGTTAGGTTTGGGATTAGTAGAAAAAAACAGACAAACCTGGATACAAAGAATTACATGCAATTTACGTAACATGTCTTCACCACGACATCACTGCATATGAGACATAATCACAAACACCTGGTGTGCTTTCCATGTTTCTTATCTACTATTTAATTAAAGAACTTCCTTAAATACTTATTATGAAACTAAAATTATAGTTCATTTGAGATCCAAGACACATGTTTATGTTTCTAAGAAACATAACCCATTCCTGCTCAAATTCCTCTCAGTTATACTATCTTTATCACCAACTCTTTTTTTTTGAAAATTTTGAAAAAAAAGAAACCAAAGAACGACTTACAATCCAAAAGGCCATTAGGAGTTAGAAACATATACATCTTTTTCTTCAAACCCATTGATTTGTTGCTTTTGTTCTATCTTTTTTAGTAACCGTTAGACGCCTGAGAAGGAAAGCAAGTTGGAAGTTAGAGAGACTGAGAAGCAAGTGACACAGAATACAACAGAAAACCAGACTGTGATTGAAGTCATGTGATAGTGGAAGAGACATGGTGGTTTGGATACCGTGTTTTGGGTATTAGTTTAGATTAGCATAGGCGGTGGTCGGGTGTAGCAGTGGAGGTCAAGTGGTGGTTCAACAAATTTCTAGGGTTTTCATCGAGATGTGGCAAGAGTTAATGTAAATCGATGGGAGTAGTAGGGGAATCAGGGGTGTATTGGAAGACAAAAGCAAAGATAATATGGAGATAGTTGCAGATTCCAAACGATGCTCAACTACACTAATTGCCATAAAGGAAATATGCTTGATTGATACCTGTATAGCTGATTTAGATGTGATTCCTTTGAGTTTTACTGCAGTCAGCAACATCGATCTTCCTAGGAGCAACTTGAGTACCTAAAAGAAGAAATCAATAGTAATTTCTTAACTAAGTAACAATCAATATGAAAAAACCATTATATAAATTCAACATAATGCATAGGGTATCAAATTCAAATCCGGAAAAGATTAGGTTCCTGATTTTTTACTACTTACTTTCTGATTTTTGAAGATTGATTGCCGATTTTATGATTTAGTTAAGGTAAATTAGGTTTATTTTGGAATATTATAACCGAAATGCTAATATTTAGGATTTGAATGTGGACGGATGATCAAAATCATTGGGCGGGAAAAAGAGAGAGCGGAATGATGGTGGAAGGACACGTGGCATAAGACAGTGTTTAAAAGATGACATGTGGTTGGTTTAGGAGTGTTTTATTAAGCATGAAGATATATATATATATATATATATATATATATATATATATATATATATATATATATATCTTTACTACTTATAAAAGAAATCTAACTATTTCTATAAATAGATTGAATATAATAATATTATTTTTTTAAGACGTCCAAACTATTAAGCTTGAAGTACAACCCATTTATAATATAATAATATTAAAACTTTAACCCTATCTTTTATCCCCTAAAAATCTGGTATCAAATTAATATACGAATTCATTTGTAAATTGAACCCGCCAATCTCAACACTTCAGCCATTTAAAGCGGTCAATGTCAACAATTTATAGAGGATCTCTTCTCTCACATTGGTAACAAGCCATCTCATAATATCTATCTTCATAATCCCTTCAAAGTAAGAAATATACGCACACTCTCTGGAAGAACCCTAACCAGTAACCAAGACAGTATAACCACCACCACCACAGCCGCTCTGCCTCCTTCCGCCTTCAACTAACAACTATCATGACTACCACCATTCCTCTCACCCACGACATGAACTTTCTTTTGGAACATAACATTTTTCTTTAAAAAAAAATATCGTTGAAAGAAGCTATTTGTCCCCGCTGCTGTGCGCGGGTAACGGCTAGTATATATATATATACACACACACACACCATCTTCCATATACATGAGTTATGTGTACATATTGGCATGATTTTTTAGTATTATGTAATCTTGTATACTAGTATGTGTTTAATCTTGTATACAAGTACGTGTTTTTATTTTTCTAGAAATCTCTAATAAAATCTTAAATTTTTGGTTCAATTTATGTTTCAATCTTAAATTAATTTATTTTTCACGAAAAAGTTTTAAAACCGACAAAAACTTACATTAAACCCTTTTAACCGGTTGGAACTGATAACAATATAATTTAGGACTATTTCGTAAACTGACCTAAAATATTAAAATTTTTCTACAAATAAAAATATTATAAATTTTATGCAAACAAAAACATTATTATTATTATTATTATTATTA